TCTCGCTCTTGCTCAGGCTGGTTTCGAACTCCTGAGCTCAAACAATCCGCCCGCCTCGGCCTCCCAGAGTGCTAGGATTACAGGTGTGAGCCACCACGCCCGGCCATCATTTTTCATTTTACTTTTTCTTTTCTAGAATTAAGTGACTCCAGGAAGTAAGGAATGTGATCCTAATATTACCTGCCTAGAAGAGGTATAGGGAGCTTTTCTTTATATCAGACCCTAATATAATTTTGTGATACTATGCTTCCTAAGAAATATGTTTATTTAACAGTATGGTAAAATGCATGTTCCTTAGAGTATTTGAAAAATATGCAGGTAGTAAAATTGTGTAATACAGATGCATTTGTCAGTAAATAAATGTGCCATGTTTAAGTGATTAAAAATGTGTAAAAAAGTAGAAATGGAGAATTAAAGTGGAAAAGAGAACTAGTTATAAAGAGAATAGTTGAGGCATCACCGAAGACTTTACTTAGCTCTCTGGTTGGTTGAACAAATATTCCAGCAAATCTGGAATGAATAGCAACTCTGTTTACTATGACACGTTTTATTTGTCTTGGGTACAACCAAGACCACATGCTGTGTTTTGTCATGTTGGAAATTCTGAAGCAGATTTCCATTGTGAATGTGAATTCTTTTTAAAGCCTTAACACCTCAGTCTCAGCTCAGCTAGGTAAAAGCAATAAGTTTTCCTTTTCTTGCCAGCCAGACATCAATAAATCTTAAATCCCTCCACCAAAAGCATGTAGCTGCAGTTCACTGTCCTGGTTGTAGTCTTAGGTCACTGCCATAGATGGCCTGATTCTTCTCATTTCCAGGGGCTATTTTTCTGCCTTTATTAAAGCTTTTTTTAAATTTTCTTTCTCCTCCATATATAGTACAACTTCTTTAACTTCACATCATAGGAGGATTTGTCACTGTCTGCATAGAGCCTTCCCGTATCCAATTATGTAGAAATCTCTCCCTAGCATAAACATGGCTCTCTCCCCACCCCTCAATTTATACCCTATGCAGACAAAGCTGTGTTTAGAAGCTGTGTCTCCAACCATGTTCACCTATTGGAGTTGTTGATTCTGCTGAATTTATAGAGAATGTATGTACCAGGGCTTAACACTTAGTTGAGAGTAGCACAGAATATCGTGAAATTGTTTAGATCCACTTTACATTTCAAAATAACTCTGGGTAACAGATATTTGCAAAATTCTCATAACATTCCTTTTTTATGCATTATCAGGATGGTTTAGGTAGCATAGAATTCCAGAGAAAGAAGTAGAAGAGTACGGGCTTAAGAATGAAGGAAAGATCATTGTTTTCAGGGATCAGTATCCAATTTTCTTGTCCTGTGGTCTTTATTCTAGTTCGATATGGGTTAGTGGTTTTCTTTCAAGTCATATCATTCTGTTTGAAATGAGTTTAAGGCTAATCTTACACTGAGGAGCCTGGTCACCAGTGAAGATTAGCATTTAATTAATACAGTTGTGCTCTGTGGAGCAGAGGAGGGTGAGATTGGAGGTGGTGGTGAAGGGAATAGAACCAGCTGCAGTGCTCCAGCCCAAAATCTGTGGACACCCTAAGGAGCACCAACCTTTAGTTATAATATGAGATAGGCCCAAATAATGACTCTTGTCCACACTGAGTGTCTGGTAAGATTTAGGGGCAAGATTAAAGAAGGTGAGAAAGGCTCACTTCCATACTTTTAATATTCAAACAACTATTTGAGCACTTATTGTCTGCCAGGTTAATTGTGCGTGATTGGAGATATTGGGGTAAACAAATACCTGTTCTTATAGAACTCATATTGTAGTGGATGGGACATAAATAATTTTAGGTAGTAAAGGGCAAAAGAAAACTATAGCAAGGTATAAGGACAGGGAATGGTGGGCTGGCCAACACTGGTAAAGTATTCACCAAGGCCTCTCCAAGGAGGTGATATAAGGCCCAGGCCAAATGAGGAGAAGCTACTTAAGAGTTTTTCATGTAGAGGGAAAACAAATGTAAAGATTATGCGGAAGAAATGATCCTTTGGGTATTCAAGGAACAAGAGGAGAAACTTTGCAAACTTTGCAACTTGCAAAAATAAGGGAGGGGAAAATGATAGGTGAAGTTGGAGAGCTAGAGTAAAGTAAAGAAACAATGATCCTAGGAATGAGTTTATCTTGGGAATATTGATAAATGACAACTCTAACAGTGTATATATGTTTTAAAAGTGAAATTATAATATTTACAGTTTTAAGGACAAAGCTAGGGGCTCAGTAGAATAACTAGAGTGTCTTATGTTGAGCAGAGTAGCAGGATGAGGGAGCTCAAAGCCTAGTGTTTGGCATGCTGCTATTACCAAGCTGTTCTTATTGGAATATCTCCAGTGGAAACACTACATTTGTGTGTGAGGTTCTCGAAAGTTATGACAATCTCCTTTTAAAATACTTCTTAAGGAGTTGAGTAGATATTGTTTTCCTGACAAGTTAACTCAGCCCGATTCTCCCCCTGTAGTTCCTCTAAGTACAGCTTTGTGTTTCTCCATCTTTTGTAATGGGAGAAGCGTAGATCTCATAAGAGAGAGCTTGAACCTTCAGCAAGGGACCTGTGCTGCTTACTTATTGTTTTCTTTACTGTGGCAGTGTCTAGGTGTTGTTGAATGCTTGCCAATGAGATAAGCTGTCCTTGTGACTAAAAACCATCTCGGGGAAACCTCCATATTTTAGGGGATCATTGGGATGCTGATAAAATCTGCAGGTGAAATTGAATTTTGTATTCAAATTAACAAATGCACACAGTTTACTTATAGAAACCAAATTATTAGGCACACAGCTAATCCCTAAATATGGATTTTTCCCCCCATTCTAACTTCTATTTTGTTTGGAATACAATGAATATTGAGGCATCATAGAGACTTGCCAAACTTCTTGGGTCTCTCTGACACTCCTGGACTCAAAGAAACAATTCTGAAGCCTTCTAATTCCATCATAAGCATGTAAAACTTACTGTTCATATTGTAAGGAGCAAAGTCTAGGGCATGTAAGTTTATTGTTTTATTTTTCTTTTGACAGAATTAAGATGCTCTGGTTTCAAGGAAATAGCATGCAACTTGCCAAATGCTCCTTTGGACTCTTCTTGAGAAATTTCTCTGCCTCTAAGACAACTCTGCCTGTGCTGACCTTATTCACAAAGGTACAGAGTGAAAATGTAAAATTATTACTTTAAAAATATAAAGTATTAAAATTTGGGGGTAAAGAAAGTTGCATGTGTAAGAAAAGGAGACAAAGTTGAAAGGAAAGACAATGGAGTAAACCTTCTTCAAACCTGTTCGTCAATTTTTCTATCAGCAGAACCGCAGTAACTCTGTTTCCTGCCAAGACACTTCATTATCTCATAATTATCAGAGAATAAATTAATGTACTTAATGGTCATCTGACCCTTGCATTAAAAAAAATGGACAGGCCGGGCGCGGTGGCTCACGCCTGTAATCCTAGCTCTCTGGGAGGCCGAGGCGGGCGGATTGTTTGAGCTCAGGAGTTCGAGACCAGCCTGAGCAAGAGCGAGACCCCGTCTCTACTAAAAATAGAAAGAAATTAATTGGACAACTAGAAATATATAGAAAAAATTAGCCGGGCATGGTGGCGCATGCCTGTAGTCCCAGCTACTCGGGAGGCTGAGGCAGGAGGATCGCTTGAGCCCAGGAGTTTGAGGTTGCTGTGAGCTAGGCTGACGCCACGGCACTCACTCTAGCCTGGGCAAAAGAGTGAGACTCTGTCTCAAAAAAAAAAAAAAATGGACAATAGGTTATAAAATGATGTTTACAAACGTATCATTTATAAATACAGTCAATTCTCGGTATTTGTGATAGTTATATTCTATAAAGTCACCATGAACACTGAATTAGCAAATACTGAACAATTACTTCTAGGAGAAATACAGGGTTAGCTTCCTTTGAGCCTCTGGTCACAGTGTTTTCATCAACCAATCAAATACATAACCTTGTTTTATATACGTTTCTGTTTAAAGATGCCTTGTTTAATATATACTGTTGATTCGTTAACATTGAACTCACAGCCAATGGCACCTATAGCTCGTGCCTCAATGAAGCTGATCTAACACACATATTTTCTCTGTAAGGCATAACCAGCCTCCCTGTGCTTATGAACACAAGACAGCACTTCAGTACTATTCTTGGGAGCTATTTTAAACAGTGAAATCCCCAACAAAAAGCACAAAAATGCAAAAAAACATGGCACTACATAGACCATGAAAAGGATATTTATTAACTTGCGTTTATAGTATGAAAGCTCAAATAAGAAGGCAGAGCGTCACCTTGTTCAACCTCAGCTTGGAATGAGCACTTTTGGTGACTCAAAGTTTTCATCACTGTGTGCGCACGTGTCTGTGAATGACTGCAAAAGCACATTGAGTATTGATTTGGGGGTTGCAAATAAATTTTAGCAAGTAGGCAAATTCACAAATGTGGAGTCCATGAATAGTGAGGATTGGAGTATGCTTATTTTCTTACCTTTAACACTAGGTTTTCTTATATCTTTTCTTATTTTCTTATCTTTAACACTAGTTTTATGCTATAAAACTAGTTTAACATTTTTCAGAGCTTTTTTGCCCTGAAATTTATAATACAAACATTACTGATTTCTTTTTGCTAATTAACATCACTTTGTATGATTTATAATCAAAAAAGAAAGTGTAGGGTAATAGAAGTAACTTTTACAAATACTACTGCAATTCAAAGAAAAAAGGTCTCTTTTTAGATTTTTCAGATTTCAGGCATTTTAGCAATTGCTGCAGTCAATTGCTAAATTTCTGACAGTTACCTAATAACAAAGTTTAATTAGTTTTTTAAAAATAAACTTCTTGTTAAGAATATTTAATCTAAACTGCTTTTCATATCCATTAAGTATATATTGCAGTATTGGAAATTATGGAACCAAAAATATTATATCATCTGAAAGTCTACGATGGGAAATGCATGTGAGAATTAGCCACAAAGATAAAATAATCCCTTAAGGCTAGTATTGCTCACTCGGCCTGGCAGTTCTACACTGTATTTCAGTTTGCACAGCGGTTGAAATAGCCAAAAACAGTTGTTAAAAAAACAAACAAAAAACACCAACCTTCCATTCAGCTTAATATTTGTACTGAGCGCTTGATCTGCACCATTACGCATATAATAAGATATTATTATCACTCCCACCTTCAGTAGTTCACAATCCAGTAAAAGAAATATTTAAAAGTGGTGTCAGTACTCTATCAGTTATAAAGAATAGAAAGTACTTCCCAGAGTGACTTAAAGAAAAAGGGGATTTGGGAGTTAGTCTAGTTTCACGAATAGCTTAATCTAGGAACCAAGCAGATTACCCATCTCTTCAGCTTCACATCCTCTGGGTTAAATCCATCCTTATTTTGGCTCTTCTCACGGATGACTGCAGCAATCCCAATCCCCAGATCTCACATCTCAGCCACCTACAGAAACTCCAGCAAACGTCTCCTGGCTATCCATTGGCTCTGACTGGCCCATTCCTGAGCCAGTTGTAGCCAAGAGGGATAAGATGTGCTGATTACCGGAGCCTAGGTAAGGTGTTCCACTCTTGTTGCTCAGGGATGAAATCTGCCACGTGCAGAGAGTATTTCCTGTGAAGCAAAATCACAGCACTCTTGCTGCAAGAAAGGGGATTGGGTGGTGGACAGCCAAACCAACAAACCTACTACGATTTAAGAATAGAGTAAATAACAAGTGCGGGCCAGGCGCGGTGGCTCATGCCTGTAATCCTAGCTCTCTGGGAGGCTGAGGCGGGAGGATTGTTTGAGCTCAGGAGTTCGAAACCAGCCTGAGCAAGAGCGAGACCCCGTCTCTACTAAAAATAGAAAGAAATTAATCGGACAACTAAAAATATATAGAGAAATTAGCCGGGTATGGTGGCACATGCCTGTAGTCCCAGCTACTTGGGAGGCTGAGGCAGGAGGATCGCTTGAACCCAGGAGTGTGAGGTCGCTGTGAGCTAGGCTGATGCCACGGCACTCTACACTGTAGCCCAGGTGAAAGAGTGAGACTCTGTCTCAAAAAAAAAAAAAAAAAATAACAAGTGCGATGGAAAATCCTAGAGGAGGATGTTTGAATGATCTAGACCACTGGGCCTTAACCTTTTTTGGTTCCTTATTCTATTTAAAATTTGATGAATGCATCAAATTTGCATATATAATTTGCATAGATTTCCATGGACCCCAAGTTTAAAAAAACAAAACAAAAAACCAGATCTAGGGTCTTCTAAAGTTTTTAATATAAAAGCAAATTGTTGGTACATTTGATACTTCTGCAATTTAAAATGTTCTTGTTTTGCTTTTGCTTTTAAGATCCTATACTGACTTTTTGAAACTTTCTCAAAAAATTTCAGCATGATTACCTTAAAACATTACAAATTATCCATAATCTGTTTATCACTAATGCTTAAGATAATATGATGAGCCTAAATCTCCATCTCAAGGAAATTAGGGCCAGAAAGACTCTTTGACATGGTCTGGATTCTTATTTCAAAACACGCATGAGTTAAGCTGCAGGAAGCTTCTCTTTTATATAATAACTCATCTCTTCTGTCATGTTAAAAAGCAGGTTTCATATAAGCATCAGTAATGTTGACTCTATTTTGAGCTCATGCAAGAGAACCTATAGCTAGTCCCTGTTCATGGAGTCAAGGGCTGAGAAGCCTTAAAAATCTGCCAATCGTCCATAGTATTCTCGACAGACTTCTCTACTAGATGGTTTAAGAGTGCAAACAACAATGGGCACTAAAACTTGCTTGCTCCTCAGGTGAAAATTTCATCCTGGAAACCTGTTGTTGACACTTGTGATAAGAAAACAGGCAAAACATTATGAATATAATCATCATCTGAAGTGAATAGAGATTTTTTTTCTCTTTTTAAAGATGGGGCAATTACTATCTAATTTTATCCTAATAGATTTATTCCTGTGGACCGATTAGGAAAAACAGCCTCTCTAGGTTCTGTGCTTCCCAGTCTGAACAAACCTTGAGCCGTTCTGTTGGTGTCAGCCAGGTCAATTGTATGAGACCACTAAGGTGCTCCTGACCTAGGAACAACAAAGCCCTTAAATAGATAGATCAGTGCAAAATAGTAAGAATGTAAATTTATTTTTGTACACATTGATTGACTGAAGAAAAATTAAAACGAACCAAAAAATGCACAGAGCCTCTCTACTGTGAAATACTAGTTATTTAGAAGATTCTATGGTAGTATTTTGCTTCATAAATAAAATTGTAATTAACCTGGTAAAAAACTGTACTTAAGTATAAGTATAATCTGCTGCTTGTGGTTTGGGTTTTTTTGTTAGGCCAAATACCATTCTTTGGATTTAATAGCTTGATTTTTTTTTTCTTCCTGTAGGATCCGTGCCCCCTTTGTGAGGAAGCCAAGGAAGTACTCAAACCTTATAAAAACAGGGTAATATAATACAGTGTAGCTTTTATGTATATGGAATGCATATCCTATGTGGTATAAAGTATCTGCCTGGATCTTTTCTTTAGGAAAAGAGATTAAATGATTTTTCATTTAAATTTTCTTTCTATTCTTCAGAGAGAGAGTTTAGTGCTGATTTCCATAAAACTCATTAACCCTAAGTGTTTTTCTCTGAGCAGTACCGGTTTTCTTACTCTGACTCTTAATATGAGTCAAAGTTAACTAGCAGGTACAGTATTCGTGCTTTCTTTAAACTTTTGTCCCTGTTCCTTTTATTTTATTTTGTAAATTCCATGGAAGTGTTTTCATGTAGCAAACCATCACACCTCTCCCATTCTTACAACACTTCTGTCCTGATTCTCAGGCAGCTCCCCAACATGTTTTATTTCAGTGGGATCTGAGTAGTGCCCTGATGCTGAATGTTACAGGTATAACAGAAAAGTAGCAAGATCGGGAGGTGGGGAATATAATTAAACCACTCAGGTTTTGTAAATCAGGAACATTAGATCACTGTGGACCTAAAACAAACAAACAACAAAAACCTCTCAGCATTAGGAATGGTCTGGGGATCAGTTCATCACTGCAGTTGTTGCGTTGCTCTGTGGTCTCTAAAATACAGAGCTTTAGTCTGTCTGTGTTTCAGTTCATTTTACAGGAGGTGGACATCACACTTCCAGAAAACTCTGCTTGGTATGAAAGGTATAAATTTGACATTCCTGTCTTTCATTTGAATGGCCAGTTTCTGATGATGCATCGAATAAACACCTCAAAACTTGAAAAACAGCTCCTGAAACTTGAGCAGCAAAGAGCTGGAGGCTGACTAGTGCCCTCATGATTTTCAACCTCTTTCCATAAAGAACCTTTCTGAAGAAATGTCCGCGGCCTCACACTCCTTATGTCACTTTCACAGAACCCTAAGGATGTTCTGAACTCAGTGGTGCCAAATAAATGTTGAAGTTCCTCTTGTGATTGATGGAAGTACCAATGCAGGAACTGTTTACTTATTGGCATTTTATAAAATAAGAGGAGTGTATTGGCAGGGAGGGAGATGATGGAGGGAGGGAGAAATCCATTTGTCTTACCTATTCCTGTTGTATTAACGTAGGAGCACTTCAGTCATTGGGCAGTGCTGTGTGTAGGAAGAAGGCTCCGCATTCTTGCTGCTGCCCAGGAGGACTTAACTTTTTAACGAAGGAATAAATGCTCTTCCACTCAGTAGATAAAGTGAAATGTGAATTGTTAATAACTGTTCACAGTCAATAAAGGGATGTTTTAGTGAACACATCTGCACGAAGCCTATTTCAGTGGGATTTAATAATACCTATTTAAAATTAAGTACATTTTTGTTGGGTAGAAGAGAGTAATTATCCTAGGCAAAGAGGCTTCATTTGAGAAAGACAAAAGAAAGATTTAAACTCCCAGAAGGTATATAGGAGTCTCAACCTGCTTTACACATAGTCAGTGAATTGATTTGTAATATTTGAGGACTGCCTTTAATAGTTATTCAGTTGTCATCAATTGAGTTAATCCAACTTATTTATTATAAGACAAATAGTTTTATCAGGTTTTAATATCTTGGAAAAAATTCCTGCTTCTAAACATAACTGAACAGATACATCATTTAAAGACAAAAATACTCTTCACCATTCCATGTAAACTATTAGAAATATAGTTTTTCCCTCTTTTATATTTAGTCAGTTTCAGCCAATATAGGAATGGATTCACTGAAAAACAAAACTTCCTTTCCTCTTAAAATTACATCCCTGCAATTCTATCTGTAATGACATTTTTTTATGAACTATTCTAATGAATTTGGATATTATGAGTCATTAGATTTTAATTTGATCAGTATGATTCAGTCTTAGAAATGATAGAATATTAGAGCTAGCTGACCTGAGATGTTGTCTAGTCCCAGCCCCATTTTATACATGAGGAGGAATCTAAAATCAGAGAGTATCAGGGACTTAACCCAGGATCACGGCCAGTCAGCTGTTAGTCCAGGTGTTGCCTCCCAGCTGAAATTTCCAGTACTCCATGGACCCATTTCCGGGGACTCAGTAAACCTGTGTTATCTCACATATAGCATCCCCAGCCATTCTGGATCCAACACAAATTTGGAAGCAACTTAAAAAGCCTTCCAAGCCTGGCACAGTAGCACACGCCTATAGTCCCAGCTACTTAGAAGGCTGATGCAGGACAAGCACTTAAGCACAGTTTAAGTCCAGCCTTGGCAACATAACAAGACTCTGTCTCGAGAAAAAAAAAAAAAAGCCTTCCAAAGTAACTATAAAAAAATCTTAACAATTGAATAGCAGTGTTTATAATTTACAAATTTCTGTAACACATCTTATTTGATATTATAAATATTAATATTGAACCCTGAGATAGAATTCTAGGATGACTTGAATGACCCTCACTTTTGTATAATTCCCTCCCCTTTGAGTGTGGGTGGAAATATCAATGCTGTGATTATGTTACATTATATGGCAAAAGGGAGATTATCTTGGGTTGGCATGACCTAAGGTGACCCCTTTATTTATTTATTTTTTTTTGAGACAGAGTTTCGCTCTGTTCCCTGGGCAAGAGTGCCGTGGCGTCAGCCTAGCTCACAGCAACCTCAGACTCCTGGGCTCAAGCAATCCTACTGCCTCAGCCTCCCGAGTAGCTGGGACTACAGGC